CCACGAACAAATAACGCTGCTGGAAGCTGGCCAGGCAGGGTGGGACAAAATCTCACAGAAGGTTCCATGATTCATGCACTTTCTTAACATGTTTATAGCAACGAGGGGCTCGACAAGATATTTAGCTGGTGAATTATCACCTTTTGATTAATCTCCTGGAAAGGTAATCTTTTAACTGTAACCTTTATGATAAACCCAAAGCTTATAACACATGTTTGCTATAGGAAATTTTAAGCTGTAAATGAATTCTCCAGACTTGCAGTACTAATATACTACTCTAAACATTATTTGGTTCCTTGTGGGTTGGAAGGCTTCAAGCTGTTCAGATCTAGCTTTCTCCTTGCATTCTGTATGAAATTATAAAGAGTTTATAGCACATTCTGATCCAAACCACAAGAAGTTGAGATCTCCATTGGGTTCCAGCCCTTATTTTATAAATCAGAACTTCCTGCTAGGCTCCATGGTGTCCTTCATGAAGCCCATTTAAGTTATCTGATCCCTAAACATCAAAGGTTTCCATCCATCTACAGCAAAACTTGCTAAATAAATTATCTAAGACAATAAGAGATGATATTTTGAGTCACTTTGGCTTATTCAGTATGACCTGATACATGGTGAGAACTGGATAAATGTTTTTTTAAACTTAATCTATCAACAAGTAAATGTAATATAAATAAAGGAGAGAAAAATACAGTAGGAGAAAGGATGTGGTAAAAAGAGACAGAAGAAATAATTGATGAAAATTAATGAATCATAAGATTTAGAAATATATCTCATTTAGCGCAGAGGTGAAGCCTGGTGATCTGTGAGCTAAATCTGCCTACAGATAGGTTTTGATAGGTCTGCATGGTATTAAAAAGTTGTCTGTTTTTTGGCCAACTCTCAAAAAAGAAAAAAAATCCAGGAGATTTCACAGTGAAATTGTCAACAACAACAAAAAAACTCCCTAAAACAGGTAACTTTTTTTTTTTTTAAACCCAAAACACTGGAAACCCAAGTCACCCTGGGCCCCCATATTCCCTCAAGCGCAGCTGAGTTGTAGCTCCTTGGTGGGATGTGTCCTCACTCATCACAGACCCGGGGTCACCTCACTTACGCGTTTGCCCTTAAACCTGACCAACCTCCCTCATGCCATCACTTTTCTGAGTCCTGTCAGCATTTGAGCTTTTCATCTGATCTCTCCTAGCTCCTTTTCCTGACATGTAAAGAACTGGTATCCACAGGTAAAATGACACAACTGTAATACCTGAACACTTCCCAGCACTTCTAATTCCTGGTTCAATGCCCTCTACCTATAGCAGTCTTCAGCAGGAAGGGATAGGGAGTAAGTGTCAAAGAAACAAAACCTAAAGGGTCAATGCCAAAGAGACAATTCCCACTTTCCGCTTCCGTTGGTCATTACACATGGATGATAGTCCACCTCACATAGCTACAGTAACCCACTGGGCATCTGCACATCTCACAGCAATTATCATTCCAGTCCTTGTTCTCACTGCCTCTCTGCAGAACACTCACGAACAGGATTCGGTTCCACTTAGTCACCCAGATAACTCCTCCCAGAGGCTCTGGCAGGCTGAAGACTTTCTACTAAAATGCCTTCCTGTACAGAGACTGTCTCCTCACCATGGTTCCTACCATCGACATCTTAAACATGAGAGTCTGAGTTGAAAATAAAAACACTTTCTATAAAGTTTAAGTTATAGGAGATGGAACATTCCTTAATCAAATGCCTTTTTAATCAATTGCACTAGAAATTAAAATGTATTTTCTCTTCTCTAGTTCATTTTTTATTGAAAAGAAACTATTGATTTAAGTCCAAGAATCTATAGTTGAGCAAAAAGAAAAATTTAACCAACATAGGATTATACAAACACTGGATCAAATTTCAATCAATTACTATCCAAGGAGTTTTGAATGGGAATAAACAAATTATTTCACTTCTAAGTGAAAGCTTTATAGATCTGACATGAAAATGCTTATTGCCATAGTTAATAGAAGCTTTGCAAATTAGTGTCTATATAGAGAGAAAAAAAAAATCATAAAAGCCAGAGACATTTTCGGGAGGAGAAAAAGACAGTAGCTGCCAGCACTCAGACAATAATTTTCCTGTGCAGTTTTAGTCCTCAAATTAAGCTATCCTGTCAGTAATTGATTTAAACCATGAGTCCCAAGAACTGGTTTAAATCTTGACATCTAAAAATGGATATTAAAATCTTTTTTCCTAAAAGATTCTAGATACTGAAAGAATTCTTGGCTTTAATGAGCTGTTGCCATTTCATTCAATCAACCAGTGTTTTATTTATAGAATAGCTACCATAGGCAAGGAGCCCTGTGGGGTACATAAAAATGAAGCAGACAAGTCCCTGGAATGGAGCAGGGGAAGAGAACATGCCGAGTATGACAAGGCAGTAAGCAGGGGCTGGGATAAATGCGGTGGCACCATGCGCTATTACAGCTCACTCATTTATGCATTTGTGCATTCATTCATGCAACACATATCGGGTGCTTCCTCTACCAGGAACAATTCTAGAAGCAGAGGAACATGGCCCCCACTCTCATGAAGTTATGGTCCAAAAGAGGAGAGAGACAATGATCAAATATAATCACATCTATGCACGGAGAACAGATGCGCAATTCTGAGGAGGCACTGAGGATGGTGATCTGGCCTGGTCAAGAAAAAGCAGTTGACCAAGGCAGCTTTGGCCTGAACTATTATGAAGAGTTCCCTGGGCACAGAATGAAACCACAAATGCAAAGGTGCTGTGGGCCCCAGGTGCGTAGGGAGCACTTGGGACTGAAAGAAAACTAGTGGGCCTAGAGCAGAAATAACACGAGTCATGCTGGATGAAGCTGGGGGACAGGCAGGGCCCAGATCATGAGGGGCTCTTCAGGCCATGGGAAGGATTTTGGCTTTTATTAGGAGAGCAATGAGAAGACACCTGAGGGTTAAGAAGGGAGCAGTGAGGTCAGATTGAATTTTGAAAAGATGAATCACTTTGCTTACTTGATTTGAGAACAAATACGGCAGGAAAAGAAGAGCAGAATGATTCAGGAAACACATGATGTTTGTTTAGATAATGGTGGTCAAAATAAGCGAGTTTATAGATTTGAAATATTTAGGCAATAAGATAGTCAACACTGGTGATCATTGTTTTAAGAAAGGGGCAGGCAAAGGAGAAGTATCAATGAGAGATGACTGCTATGTATGTGGCACTGGATGGAAGGTGGTACTAGTCCCCGAGAGAGCAAACACTAGAAAAGAGCAGGTCTGGGGGGAAGGGAAGAGAGATCATGAGAGTGATCATGGATATGTCGGGTCTGAATAGCAGGATGCAGCTAGGTAGATGGGTCTGCAGGTAAGAGGTGAAATATATGTGTGGGTTTCATCTGCGTAGAGGTGGTCACCAAAGCCACAGGAGTAGGAGAGATTGCAGAGGGAGAACATATAAAACGAGAAAAGGAGAAGGCGTGGGGCCAACCCTTGAGGACTCTGACATTTAATGGCTTAATAACCATCAGAGAGATAAAGAACCACTTGAGAGCTAGGAGGAAAACCAGATGAGCATGGCACCACGGAAGCCCTGGCTAGACTGTCTTCTAAGAAGTGACATGGTCAGTGTCGAATGCTGCTGCAAGGTGAAGTAAGATGGTGGATCTCGTGACACTGGCAAGGGTGTGTGTGTGGTGGGGGAAGCTAAAGCAAATCTGAAATGAGTCGAGTGTGACACGGAAGCAATGAAATAAACCCATCTTCCAAAGCGGCTCAACTGGGTGTGGAAGACAGGACGGGAGAGCAGGGCAAATGGACACGAGTCTGTGTGGAGGTTGTTTTTGGTATGTATGTATGTATGTATGTATTTATTTATTAAAGATTTTATTTATTTTTTAGAGAGCGAGCGAGCGAGAAACAGCATGAGAGGGGAGAGGGTCAGAGGGAGAAGTAGGCTCCCCGCTGAGCCAGGAGCCTGATGTGGGACTCGATCCCAGGACCCTGGGATCATGACTCGAGCCGAAGGCAGACGCTTAACCATCTGAGCCACCCAGGCGCCCTTGGTTTTTATTTTTAATAGGAGAAAATGAAGAGTGTCTAAAAGCCTGCAGAAAGGGTTTCTTTCCTAGGGAAATGTCAGCTATGAAGGGCAGAGAGAGGGAAGGAGGATGATGATGCTGAGGAGGGCGCTGGGGTACGTTGCAAGGACAAGTGGAGGTACTGGCCTGGGAGGAAAGGAAGGTAAAAATGTCTCTATTGCAACATGAGGGAAGAAGGAAAGGGTGGGAGGAGATGGTTGATACCTAGAACAGAGAGCCCTGTCAGATGTGAAGTCGATGGTGAGGCCACCAGCTAAAAAGAGTAGAAAAGATCTGAAATGGATCAGTGAAGAAAGAAGGAGAGCAGAGTGAGAAAAAAAGGGCTGTGTACAGATCATCTGAGGTGGGAAATCAGTAAAGCACGGAGGACTGTGATGATGACTTTTGTGTAGCCTTGAAGAGGCGTATTGTCATGTTGGTTTACATCCAACTGAGCTTTAGCCAGATTTTTTTAATGGAATGCTGAGGTTTTGTCTTGAGAAATGAAAACTGAGCAAGAAGATAGACAAGTAAATCCATTTTCAATTGAGGAGTCTAAGACTAGAATAAGCACACTAAGGTTTCCCATAAATTTTACTAATCAAACTTAATCTAAGTATGTGATTAAGTTCTATTCTTAAATTCAACTCTTATTTTCTTTCAAAATAATCTCAGAAAATCTCACCCAAACTGATTCTTTAACATTTTACATCTACATAATAAGGAAAAATAAAAAATAAGATGACCTAAATGCAAATCTGACATATGTGTAACTGAAGTTCTCTTTTTTGTCAATATAGGCTACACCTATTATAAAGATATCTCAATCCTGGGAACTGAAAATCATAAAAAAAGTGGACAGTCATAATTTCAAATTTTGGGTGGCAAAGAACAAACAACATCAGAACGTATGAGTTATTATTTTTTCCTACCGTATTCACACTTCTTTTTTCCAGTAGTAGTCGAAATAAATTAGCTGTAACCTTGTTATCATGGACACCTTGCTCAAGGCCGCGATTATCATCTTGCATGAGTCTTCGATCCATGATAACTTCAATCTGACCTAACAAACAAACAAACAAACAAACTGGCCAGAGTTATTTAATACAAACATCCAGTGACAATCACATAAGTTTAGGCACGGTCCTGATTTAAGCCAAGGAGACAGATCCATATAGCCCAAAGTACCAAGGGCTTTCTCAAAACAGCTAGGATAAATGCAAAAAACAGGACTTTATTTCCATTCTTCTTCATAAATGTCTGGTAAAATTTGGTAAGAAATTTGAAAATGAGACAGATCAAAACTTAAGTGAAATTTAAAAAGAATTAATCTGAAGAGTAAATTATGTCCTCTAAAATTTTTAGTGGTAGCACCTGGAATTTAAAAACATTTACGAGGTTCATTAGGAAACATACATCACACCTGGAGTAACAAGGCAAATACAGATGTGTAGAATCTAAAAAGGATTTGAAAGACTAAGCGTTTTGGTTACTTGGTATCTGCTGATTCTCTGAAGAAACCCCAGGATTTGGAGACACCCAGCACGTACCCCCTTCCCTCCCTGGTATTAAGTTAGTGGCATCAACTATCCTCTCTCCTCTAGTTCAAGAAGAGGTCATATTTGGTTCCTTCATTGGCTGTGCAGTAATTCCACACCTCCTCTAGGTTAAGTTGTAAGCTAAGAATTAGGCTATGAGACTACAAACCAAAAAACCCTATCCAAAACAAAGCAAAAAACCACCCAGAGCCACAGTCATATATTTACACTAAAAAAAAACCTAGTCATACATAAAAAAATATATGCATATTCATCCATCCACTCATTCACATTTGTTACAGTACTAAATGATCTTTTGGCATAAAAGAGCAATACATAAAATATTTTAATAACTATTATTTTTACACAGTCAATCCAACTCTGTTTAGTTCTTTCTTCTCAATTTAGGTACCCAGTACATAAAACTGCCAGTGATGGTCAGAATTTTCGTTGTTACTACCTCCATATTTATTTTAGAACACAACTGTCTAGAATGTGCTCCTCAGGCACTGGGACGAATTGGCCATCTAGAGCTTGATCATGTCACACCCAAATGAGTACATCAATCTCTTGGCAGTTTCTCTCTTCTCCCTGCCTCCAAATGTTAGCCCTCATAATATGTGACACTCAGTAAATCTCCTGGGCTGTACTCAAATTGTTCTTCTGTTTGTAGGTACTGAAATGCTAGGGTGCTTGGCTGTCTGTAGCAGGGGCACCTGGGCCAGGTGTGACTCTTGAGCCCCCCATTTTTAAACGTTGCCTTAAATTCTCAAAGCTGGGTCCTTAAATAGGGAACTAGACATTAGGACTGGAGCAATCATGGAGTAGACAGTTATGTCACTTCCCTTGACAAAGGCAAGCTGAGAAATAAAGCTCCTCTGTCCCTAAACCACATTTAGGAATTTTATGTGAAGTTGTCCAATCTATAAATAGTTGACTTAATTTTTTAAAAATCAAAACATATGGAGTGCCTGGGTGGCTCAGTCATTAAGCGGCTGCCTTCAGCTCAGGTCATGGTCCCGGGGTCCCGGGATCGAGCCCCATATTGTGCTCCCTGCTCCCTGGGAAGCCTGCTTCTCCCTCTCCCACTCCCCCTGCTTATGTTCCCTCTCTCGCTGTCTCTCTCTTTCTCTGTCAACTAAATGAATAAAATCTCCAAAAAAAAAATAAAAATAAAAACATAAAAAATTCCAGACTCCTGGGCTCTTCAGAAGCAGAAAAATTTGGCAACCCTGGGCCCCTTTCCCCATGGTGACAACAACCTGGCGCTGAGCAGCGGCTGCCCCACCGTTCACTGGGAATGGTGTGCCCCAGTTTGCCGAAGCCCCACCACTCCCCGCTGCATCCCTGATGTGAGGCCATTATTATTTTTCTAACAGCGTTAATGTCTTTACGGCATCATCTCATGAGTCTGTGTAATGAAAGCCACAAAAGAAGATGAGTAGTATGCTTTTTTGTGGGGGTGGACATATGGAATGTATGTATATGCCCAATTAAAAAAGTGGGTTTGGGGCAAAGGGTACGTCAGGTACCTGCACACCTTTATTATCTGCCTGGCTCCTTAAGACATTTGTCTTAGCAACTCTTAATATGTAAGAAAGAAGAGCAATTTGACTACATATAAATGATAATGAAAAAATATGTATTATAAAGGACATACGCCTCTCCATAGAAGGTTTTATAAAAATTAATCTGTGTTTACGATTTATTTTCTCTGTCCATCTTGTTCTATCTTTTGGAATCCTTAAAGTTGTGTCTGTCACCTCTTTATCTGCCTAGCTGTATCATTGCAACTCCCTTTCTTCTTTCGGGTAGAAGTGCCCTAGAACGATACGATTCAGAGGAGGAACTAGGTTTGAACTGTTACGTCCCGCCTTTGCGAACTTAGGCAACTCTGGGAATTTCTAACTTTTACCCCAGCTCCCTCTCCTCTTTGGCTTCTGGGAGAGTTTCCACAGCCATTCCATTATGACAACGACAGAGGCTTGTGCAAACAATGAGCTATCAGGAGAGAAAAATTATCTTTAAGAAGCCATGGTTTCATGGAGCTTTAGGTCCCTCATTCTTCATCAGAAGATTGAAGAAATACATTATTTTATGTTATTCTCACAAAACCAAAATTAACTAATAGCTGGTGTCTGAAGATGATAATTAATAATATGACCAACAGAAAAATTATACATTTGGAACTGAAACTTGTAAGAGCAAAAAAGAATCCAAACAACACGCACCACTTTTCAAACTTGAAACCCCTAAAGACTGAGCTGAGAGTAATGTCAAGCGATGCTTGGTGTCCTGTATATAGGCCATTGTGGTCATCGGATAGACATTTGCTTGAAGAGGCAATTTGCTCATCGTCATTCTGGGCTGAATCTATAAGACCAAACAGTTCACTTTAAAAAAAAGAAATCAAGGGATATTTACAGATGTACTTTAAAAAATTAGTACTGACTACAGATGACGTTTCTTCCAAAAAGAAAAAGGTATAGCTTCCTTTCTTGTTCAAAGGAAGAGCTAATTTAGGAATTAAAACATTCTTTCAAACAATATGAAAAAAAAAATGAGGATCTTAGAAAACTTTTAGGTGAGAAAGGTAGAACTTATCCAGGTTCTTAAAATAGGCATTCCTATTTAAATTCAGAATAAAAATCCTTAACAAAAGTCTTCTAGCTTTCCAATATTTGCATAAAACAAATTATAAAGGTAGCAAGTATTCATTTCTCATCTAAATCTAACATACTGCTTTTGTAATGAATGCTAAGCATAATAGCTCTCTATCCCCTTTCAAAAAATCTCTCTTATAATTCTTGAATCAGTTTTAATAAATACCACAGATCCCCTTATCAAATCCTCTAACATATTACATTAAAATAATCAAATTAATATTTATATTTAAAAACTCTTCAGTGCTTATTCTTCCTGTTTAGTGTCAATGTAGGTAGTTCCATATTTTAACTTCTCTTGGTCTGGTATGTGAATGCATGAAATACATTATTTTATTTTTTGACCGAAAATTCACTAAGCTGGTTGGGGCTGAGGAGAGTCCCTCAAACCTCAGGAGGAAACATCAAACAGAGACTTTGTTACGAGGTATCTTATTCACACCACATAAAAATGACATCTCTCCTGTTCAGCTCATGCAAGTCTGACATGACACTCAAGAAGAAAAGGAGTACAAAGTTAATGTAATAGTATTGAGTGCCCATTATAACGAGACAAAGTACGGGCATTCACAAATATGATCTTTAATCTTTACAACAACCCTGTAGTGCATCCTTTAACTTACTGGTTGTACTGAATAGTGTCCCCCAAATTCATGGTCATCCATAACCTGTGAATGTGATTTTGTTCTGAAATAGGATCTCTACAGACATAAGGTATAGTGGATTAGGGTGGGCTCTAATCCAAGGGCTGGTGTCCTTCTAAGCGGGAAACCTGGACACGAAAGGACACACACGGCAACACAAGGAGAATGCGACAGGGACTCTGGGACAGCAGAGGCAGACAGTGGAGTGATGGGTCTACAAGCCCATCAGAAGCCCCAACAGGCAAGGAAGAGTATTTCCCTAGAACCTCTGGAGGGAGTGTGGCCCTGAAGACATCTTGATTTGGGACTTCTGGTGTCCAGAACTATGACAGAATAAATTCTTGTTGTTCTAAGCCACCCATTTTGTGGTAATTTGTATCACAGGCCCAGGAAATTATGAACCTGAAGAAACAACTGCAAAATGTTAAAAAAAAAGAAAAAGAAAGAAAGAAAGAAAGAAAAAAGAAGAGAGAGTTTCAAAGAATTTTCCATTTCTCCTTTCCAATCTGGATCTTCCCAATCAAATTAACTTGTATACTCACTGAAAAGGACATTCACACTGTCATGACTATAGGGCTGCCACCCTCACTCCCTACCTGTTAGTCTAGATTTCTAGTTTTGCTCAAGGACTACTCTTTCCAAGGCTTAAAAAATGGCCTATTTTAGAAGCAGAAATATTTAGGTCATAAATTTAGAAATTTAGAAGTTTAGAAATAATATTTTCCCATTTATTCAAATGCTTGATCCTTGAAAAGAAAATTCACATGTTTATTCACTTTTACTAAGTTTTTTTCATTCATGTATACACCCACACATACAAATAATTGCTTTTGTAAGATTTTAAGAAAAGAGTTTCTTTTGTACACAAGGAAAATGAATCACCATAAAGTCAGGGCTTCATTTGAAAACCAAACAGCTGTGGTAGAATTAACATGTAAATTCAAAGTGTATAATGCAATTTTTATGCTTTGGAAAAGGTTTAAATTTAACCTTTGCAGGAAATTGTAGAAGAGAAAATTATCACAACCCCTTCCACTCATCCCAGTTGAAAATCAGACAAAGTAAAATCATTTGTTGTGAAATTATTTCTATTCATAGCCAGAAATTTCTAAAATGCTAATGTCTCAAAAACATGCTAATGTTTTTAGTGGTAGTATTTCAAAGCTATGTTGTCACACACATATACTCTGAATATAGAAATTTATGTAACAATCAAAAGAGCCCTATTAAATTAAAGAGCTAACAATCTGAAAAAAATTGAGTCAATTTTCTCATTACTATTTCAAACTATTTTGTGAACATTTTGATTAAATACATACCTGCCCACATTTCTATATATGTGCTTGTATTTCTTTGTCTATGTATATGTACACAAGTGTGTGCATAAAGGTAAATACACATACATTATTGATAAAAAGAGGGAAAGAGCTTTCCTGAAATTTAAAAGAGCCCATTATTACATTATACATTTAAAAGTATATATGTAATAGATTAAATACACACATACCATTTCTTTATGAGGGGAAAAATACATACTCCACCAATCCCTAATTATGTTTCCTTTCTATTAAACAAATTCAGATATATTTTGGTGTCAAGGCATTTAACATGCAAATGGTCACCAAATCTGCCTTTGAAAAAACTACCTCCGTAAATCAGATGCTCTACAAACCAATCTCTCAAATATCTGTTCTAACTTTGGACATCTGGTTGAATATAGAACCTATAAGTACCTGTTAAAATTCAGTTTTCCTTTAGAAATAATTTGTAAACTTAAGCATATTTTTCAAAGGATCCAAAATTAACTGGCCCACTACCATATATAAAAGTTACACACTAACACAGCTATTACTTAGACATTTTAAGGGAAAATTACCTGATATCCATTCAGGTCAGTATAGAATTTGTTTTGACTGTTTATGCTAGAAGAAATTCTCATTGCAATCTCACGGTTATGTTCTTTTCAGATGTCCACGATATTGGACACTTCCACAGACTGTCCGTCTATTCCTAAATTTAAAAGAATATATATGTTAATAGAAATTGATTGCTCCACTTTTCTTATACTGTACAGAACTTCCAGAGTGACATACATTTTCCCGTTTTCTATTCCTATCTTCACCATTTTTCATGCTAACTGTGCCACCGTTCACCTTTTTCTTTCTTTTCTTTCTTTCTTTTTTTTTTTTTTACACTGTCAGACAGTAGAAAACATTTACTCCGGAGAACATGTAACTCAACAGAAGGATGAAGAGCTTGGGATGAGATAAACGCAGATGAAATATAACATGCAAATGATTCTCCAATGAGTTCTGGAGGGAAAAGAGAACTTTAAATGAGAAAAGGTTAGCCCCACTCCAGGCCAGGCCGCCTGTCACGTGTACGGCCATTCTCCAACAGAGCCATGTGAGCCTATTTCTTCACGGCTCGCCTTCCGTGCTGGAAATCTGAAGCAGTGAGATCTACACTCTGTTGGTTCAAGAGACAGTCTATTACTGCCCATGATCTATAATCTAGGAAAAGAGACACGAGATCCAATGAGATGCTTTATGGCTAAAATGGATATTATCATATTAGTATTTGTGGAGTATAATCTGGACAGCTCCCCAGAAGTTAAATCAATTTTTTTTAAGATTTTATTTATTTATTTGACAGAGAGAGACAGCGAGAGAGGGAACACAAGCAGGGGGAGTGGGAGAGGGAGAAGCAGGCTTCCCGCCGAGCAGGGAGTCCGATGCGGGGCTCGATCGCAGGACCCTGGGATCATGACCTGAGCGGAAGGCAGCCGCTTAACCGACTGAGCCACCCAGGTGCCCCAAGTTAAATCAATTTTAATTGAGTTTGGTATCTCTTAGGACCCCTTGTTATGGAGTGATTCATTTTGCCCTTTGCTATATGAAGCAGAGGACAGCTTGAAGAAGTCCCAGATGTATCAAACATTTATTTTTTTGGATAAGCCTAAACTTTTCACTAATTTCTATCTGTCATGCCACCCTAACTATATCTTCTGGTCCTGAGTGAAGCCTTGGGTCTATTTCTGAGACGGAGAGGGGAGTTATGGAGTTATCCAACACTCCTAATACAGACTGAGTATGTAGAAGAGATACTGGATCTCCTACAAAAGAGCAATCAGGAAAGCAAGCAATCAAAAGAAGAAAGACCGGCCCTATCCTATTTCATACGGCAGAAGGTTTTTAAGGTTCTAAGAGCCCTGGACACGTACCTGCAGTTTTCAGTCGTTACCCACCAGGCCTCACACACACTCTGTCACAGCGTGCTGATCACCAGGACACTCTTTAGACAAAGAAGGCTATGTAAAGAGAAATGGGGAGTGGGAGAAGGGAGTAAGGAGGACTTTTTCTGGAAGCCAAGAAGAATCCCCAGGGCTTAGAGAAGATGAAAGCAAACAGTTAAAGGAAGGAAGTTTGAATCGGTGGGACTGGTGGAAAATAATGAAAATGCAGCTAGCTGAGGCACTATAGGTTTATGTGAGAAGTACACCGGAAATTGTAAGACATCAATAGTAATATGCTGACAATACTAAATGGGCAGAAGCCTCCATCAACAGATTTTTCAGAATTCTCACAGAAGTTCTTTTCTGGGAGATGTTACGCCTCCAACTCGACAACCTCAGTCAGAGATGACTTCAGTTTCTTACTATGTTCATAAAGCTGTGATGAGCAGTATGACCTCATGTGTGGGGGAAGAAGGTCCTTTTCTTTTCCCTCCCACTTTATGGCCAGTCTGAACCACTAACCAGTAAAATATACATATAACTTTCCTTCTGACAATTACCAGATAACTGACCCAAATAGCTTCACTACTACTGGGAAGTTAAAAGAAAACAAAAATCACATCCACTGATGCCAGAACAACGGTGTTTTCTTTGACTAGGAAATGTATTACTTTCGATGCAAACTTTCCTTTCAGTAGGTTTATGTCAACCCCAATATCTTTCAAAGCCAATGAAATGTATATGGAATTCTAACAGACAAGCTTCCACAAATGAACCAAAGATGCCAAAAAACACAAAATACAGCATAGGGATGAAGTCCCCCATGAAGCATTCAGGCGAACACCTCATCTACTGGAGGCATTCGTGGCTGTTTGGCACCACGTCCGTTTTCTCCTCTCTAGACTGGATATTCTCCCAGGGGGTCAATAGAGTACATGAAATGAAATAAAGTCTTTACAAAGGAGAGTGTCATTAATTTCAAGTCACGTATCTCTGGAAAACATTTACAAAAAACATGCTTCAAGAAAAAATAAATAATTTCACATTACCTCCGGCAATAATAAATTATTTCTGTTGAGAAAATGATCTTTCTTGAGCTCAGTATTATGCTCAGATCCGGTTGTGGCAACAAATGCTTAAGTCTCCTTTAAAAGGAGCCTCGATGTCCATTCACAGTTCAGCAAGACATCTGTGCCAGGACAGGCTTTTAAAGTAAGATCAAACCTAATACTCTTATTACGAACAAACCAAATAAATCTTGTAATGGTAATCAAAGCAAGGAGGTATCCCTGAGTCATCAACGGTAATTTATTACTTTTTAAAGAAGAATCTATGTGAGGGGGATAAAGGACTGCTACCTTTTCCTACTCTAGGTCAAGAATTCCCTAAAGTGTGCCATTCCCAAAGAAGCTCATGGGATTGAGGGGAGAACTCCCTGGGAAGCATGGGTATGAACCGATCGGTCTCAGTGACCTGCAGAACCTTTGCAGCAAAAGGTTCTTTTACCAAATTGGTTCCACCTGGGCATGGATGGCCAGGAATTTCTAAGCCCCTCTGGTTTTTCTTCAGTCCTGGGAAAGAAAACAGCTCCTACCTAACAAGCGTAGTCCAAAGAGTTATGTCATTGATAAAGACAGAGAATTAAGAACTCCCTTGCTGCTAACACCTCACCCTCTGTCCCCAGAAAGAGAGAATGGAGATTATTTATCTTTATTAACAGAGGCAATGCAAGGTAAAAACAGAGCAAGTCCACAGGTGGAAAGCCATCATAGAGAAGCGGAAAGAGTCTTGCAGAACTCTGAAGTTTTTTTTTTTTTTTTTTTTTTTTTCTCCTCCCTGGAGCCTGTTAGCTCCTTACAGATTGTCTTACACACCATCTCTGCATTCCAGTTTTTAACAATAATTTGGGGATGTAGTACGTGCTGAATCACCATTAAAGAGAATGAGTTAAGATGTGAGAGGCTGTCCTTCATGATGCAGAAGTCAGCTGACATGGGAGGAAAGCAAACTAGGCCATGGACAGAGTTTAAATAGAAAGAAGGGAATAAGTACTTAGATTTTGAGCAAACACATGCATGTTAGAATGTAAGCTCCTCAAGCACTGGGACCATGTCTTATTTATCTTTATGCTCCCAGCACATAATAGGCAGATAGTGTTTGCTGAGTAACGGGCAGCAGCTACATGGAAGAATCAGCCAACAATTACTGAGTCCCCGCTATGTACCATATGCCCCGCCATATGCTTTACATACAGTAACTCATTCAATCCTGACCCTAAGCCTAGGAGAACATACCTTGCCCCAGATCACAAGGCTGACAGAACCAGCACTAAGCCTCTCGGCCATCATGTCTCACTGGCAAATTGACCACTAGAGAATGTTAAAGTTACTTTGGGACCATGGATTAGAGAAGCTTTGCAGTGACTCTAAGTAGAAAGGAGACCTCCAGGTTATTTTTTAAGAAAGGGAGAGGGTACTGATCTGGGATGATATGCTGCAAGTGCTACCTAAAGGAGACAAATACATTATCAGTAAAATAAAATAAAAATAATAAAAAATAATTATGGGACAGGCTTGCCAGAATACAAAACTTCTTCAAAACAATCCGAAATCTTTTCTTTAAAAATGTCACGGTCACTTTAGAAGCCAATAAAGTAATATATACTAATTAAAGACACTGTGATCTCACGTATTTACCTAAGATGAACACTAATCACAAGCACAAGCATGTTCACTGTGCACTGGTGCCAAGTGTAGAAACATGGGGAAACAGGCTAGATGCCCACCAACAGACAAATGAATAATAAAACCAGTACATCCACGTTTTGGACTGCTCTGTAGCAAATGAATGAGGTAGCTCTCTGCCCCGGCAAAGAAAGATATCTGATGCAAGAGGTGAATGGAGCATTTGCACAGTGTGATGAACTTTTTGCTAAAACCAAACACAATACTATACCTTTCTGCAGATATGCATGCAAGAGAGGTGTGTGTGAGAGAGAGAGAGGAGATAGAGAGAGAGAATGCAAGTGATCCGAGGGTGCACACAGGTATCTGATTACCTCTCTTGAGTAGTGGATAGGGACCACGCACAGATTCTAGAGGGATTTTACATTATATACATATACTATAATGTGTGACACTTTTGTCAAAAGAGTATACATATATATTATTTGTATACATAAAAATTATTATCTTTTTTATTCTATTTTTTTTTAGATTTTATTTATTTGACAGAGAAAGACACAGCAAGAGAAGGAACACAAGCAGGCAGAGTGGGAGAGGGAGAAGCAGGCTTCCCGCTGAGCAGGGAGCACGATACGGGGCTCGATCCCAGGACCCCGGGACCATGACCTGAGCCGAAGGCAGACGCTTAACAACTGAGCCACCCAGGTGCCCCCGAACTTACCCAACTTAACCAGGAGTTGACGCTTAGGGTTATTAACTAATACACACTGCTTCACTCAACACATAAACGACAATTCTCGCAACAATGATAAATTTAGTAGGACAATATGGAGATGATGTTTCTAAAAAAGCAAATATTATCATTTTTAAAAACTGTACTCATATCTGAAAGTACCAAGAATAAAAATGGTAATAACTCCCATAACTAGATGACCTTTTTGTCCATGTTGACTTATTCAACTTGCCTATCCATTGTAAGATCTAATTTATCCTCTGAGGTACTTGCTGATTTCCAGGTCTGTAAATGTTCATATTGACTATTTCTCCACAAGTGAAAATTTTAACATCTGCTTTCATGAATATAAATTTGA